AAACCCAACGATAACCCATTGTGTGCTTTCTATTTGGTAAGGGACCAGGTCTGGTTAAGTTCCATGGCCTCAAGTTCCAGTTTCATGGCATCACGCCATTGAGGAAGTTTGACTGCTTGATGAAAAAATTGAGGTTCAAAATGAGTTGAAACATTCAAGATGAATTGACGATGGGGAGTTGATAATCTGTCATAAAAGACAAATTGCCCAATGTGATGAGAGGGAAGGATAGAAGGTTGATAATTGGGTGAAAGTAAATTGCAGTGAAAGTCTCTGAGATATATGGGGGGTTTAGAAACTCCGTGAGACCTTCGAACATTGGGATATGACTGATTTATGAGAGGTGAACTAGATTGAGGAAATAGGGGGTGTATTAGGGGTGTTATCAACAGGGACATCATGTGGAATTGATAGAAAATAAGAATGTAGGACTAAATTAGGAAAAAGATCTACCAATTGATCAGCATTAGTGATAGTATGTAACGGGAAAATTTCTTCATGAAAAATGGCATCCCTGGATATGAAAATTTGCTTGGAGGATACATAAAAAAATTTAAAACCTTTGACACCAGAAGGGTATCCCAAGAAGACACATACCTTGGCTCGTATTTGGAATTTTGTCCTGTGAGCGATAAGTGTTGAGACAAATGCCAAACATCCAAACACTTTGAGGTTGGAATAATCTGTCATACGACCATATAAAACTTCAAAAGGAGTTTTGTGATTTAAAACATGAGAAGGGGTTCTATTTATCAAGAATGCCGCTGTAAGCACACTTTCTGACCAAAAATTGATTGGAACTCTGGATTGGAAGAAAAGAAAACGTCCCACATTGAGGAGGTGCTGGTGTTTGCGTTCAACAACTAAATTTTGTTGTGGTCGTTCAACGCAACTAAACTGATGTACCATCCCTCTTTCAGCAAAGAATTTTTTGAATGATAATTCATGAGCATTGTCTGATCGAAAAACTTCAATGGTAGCATGAAATTGTGTGACAATAAAGTTAAAAAATCTATCACAACTTTCACCGCATCAAATTTTTGCCTCAACATATATAACCATGTGAATCGAGAATGATCATCAACTAATGTCAAAAAATATCTATAACCAGAATGAGACGTGACATGATAAAGGCCCTGATGCGGACATCCATTTGCTATTTATTTTCTATTTGGACTATTAATTATATTCTATTTAGATTATTATTTATGTTTCTGTTATTGGGCTTGTATAGTGGGTTTGGCCCAAACCCTTCTCTTTAGGATTTTTGTTTTGAAATTTATTTCTATTTTGTTGCGTATTTAGGACAGTTGATGAAGATAAAGAATTGAATGAAAATTAGCATTGCTTTCTCCTGTCTTCCCATCTTGTTCTCTTCTCCTCCGATCTTCTCCCTTCATTCTCTCTATTTTTTCTCCTTTCTTGTTGCCTATTTCTTCTTGTCCTTCTAACTTTGTTATTTCTTGATTCGTATATTGATTCTACATCAAAGTGGTATCAGAGCCAAAACCTGGATTTTAGTCATAAAAATGGCCGCACTTCTGTCTGTTTATCCAACTCGTCCAACAATATTTGCTGGCAGTTTCTTCTCTGCATCTGCTTCTGCAAACGCTTGGTAAAATAGTCTCCATAGCAACTATAACCTACAACAAATCCCCACATCATATTCTCCACACTTCAAACCGGCTACTGCAAAATCCAAAATCGCATCCTGCCTGTAACTGCTGACTATCAACTACACCACGACACCTATATAAGCTACTACAAACAATAACCACCCCACACACGATCTACTAAGCCACCACTGCTACCATTATCACCCACTACCAATCATCACCAGAAACTACCACCAACTATTAACGCTACAACCCTCCGCCCAAATTACAAATTTCGACCCCAAACCACGGGTAGACTTCCACCACCACAATCAATTGTTACCACCGAAACTTAAATAGAACCCAGATCCATATCGACCACAAGCGAATCCAACAATTACTCCCGCTGCCTTCTTCAAACTCAAAACATCTGCTGCAAACAATACTACTGGCACAATCGCGAAAATCCATCGCAGCTGTCACTGGTAATCCCCACAATCGGCAGCTCACATATCCCAAACTGACCATGCGACCACCACTAACAGTCACAGTAACCCAAAAATTGAACCACCCCACGACCATCGCCTCTATTCGTGGCACCCAACCACCGGTCATCTTCACAGCTCCAACGCTCGTCATCCTGCAGCCGTCGACTTCCATCTTCATTGAGCTACAATTTTCTCCAGATGAGTTGCATAGGGCTAGACGAATTAGGCTATCGATTGCAGTGGGTATTTGATATTCAAATTGGGCTTTAAGCGTTCCAGCATTTTTATTGGAGACTCAGCACTTATTTTCAAATTGGGCTTTGTCTATAGTTTGGTATTTGGGCCTGGTTTTATAAACTATGTTGTTTTGTTAAAGCCTATTTCTTTAAAAAAAAAATCGAGTTTGAAAAAAAAAATTGTGAAAAAGAGGAAGAAAAGAAACGTCTTTTCTATTATTTACAGGTACATCTTTTATTCTGATTGATCTGACTTGACTACTTCGACGAACGAAAGGGAAGTTCTTATTTTTACTTATTATTGGTTTATATTATTGTTTCATTTTGAAATTGCATCAATTAAATTTTTGTGCTGCTACTGATCTATTTTTATCTAAACTCACGTAATTGGATCCATTAACCTCGTTAAATCTCACTTTAACCTGCTTATTTTATGTGATTAAGTTTTGACTAGTATTTGATCATTGCTTTATTATTTTACATATACCAACAGTACTAGGTTGTTGTATATAATTTTAATCTCTAAATTTATTACATAAAAAAGGGGAAGATAAAATGCTCAAATTGTTATTTTTCATTGCTTGCACTTTTGTTTATTGATATCTCTATTGCACTTTATTTAGTTGCTATTACAGTGCATATAGTTGCATAGTGGTCGTCCTATCACTTCTAGTTCCAGTACCTTAAACAGGACCCCTCACAATTTGATGCACTTACTCGACAAATAGTTGCTATCCAAACTCAAATGATTGCTACTCTTGAAGAGAGTAAGGATCTATCTGCTAATTTGAACAACTTTAAACAAATCCCTAGTTCAACCAACATCTATAAATCTAAAGTGTCCCAAAATAGATATTATCATCATCAACATGGTGATAAAAAATGCTTTAGACACGATCGTAGGGGTAGGGATCAAGTTCGTGAGCGAGAACGAGATAATTTTGAAATTTTTACTCAATGGAATGCCCTTAAACAAGGAAGTCAACTAGTGACGGAATATATCACACAATTTGAGGAATTTTGAACCAAATGTCATTTCATTGAGGATGAGACCATGACTTTGAGTAGTTTTAGCCAATGTTTGAGAGATGATCTTAGGCGTGAGCTTTTCCTTCGAGGTGTCACTACTCTTAATCAAGCTTACTCTTTAGCTCGAGATTATAAGTTGATTATTAGTACTCCATATGAAAAACATGGTCATCATCGTTCACCCATCCCATTAGCTCCACCTCACCATATGTCTATCATAAAGTCTTCCCCGTCCAATGTTCCTCACATTTGGAAAAATAATTGTAAAGGTCGTGATAGTCCAAAACCTTCTTCTCCATATAGAAGGCGTATTAACAATAATCATTCTGTTTCATTGGCTCCACTTCCTCCCGTTAAGTCCCTTTTAGGATCTCCTTCGTCTAATATTCTTCCAATCTTTGATAATAAGGGTAAAATTTTTGAAACTCCAAGGACTTCTTCTCAATTGCTGTGCATCAACTGTAAGGTCTTTGGCTATATTTCTTCCAAATGTCATAATCAAACCTTAGTCATGGAAGAACGAAAGAATGCAATAGATGAGCCGCTAGAAGATCTAGTCTATGAACATAAACTTGAAGATTTTGATGACTTGGATGATAGTGAGGACACTTCCTTAGGTGGAATCCCGACCCTTTCCGAGACTTTAGAAATTATACCCCTTGTTTCCAACAACTCTCAATCACATGTTATATGTCATACCCTAGCCCAACTCAAAGAGTTTGATGATTTCATTAGTCACCCTTGGAGAATCCAGTTGCCCATGTTTAGCACTAAACCGAAATTCTCCACTACTGACCAACCTCAAACTAATGGTTAAAACGAAATTGCTAACCAAAGTCTTGTCAATTTATTACAGTCTCTAGTCCAGAAAAAACTTGGGAATTGGGATTCGATCCCCCCAACTGTTCACATCGCATATAACAATTCTATGAATCGGTCTCTAAGTCTAAATCCATTTGAAGTTGTTCATAGTTATAAGTCTAGGCGACCGTCCCATGTCCCCGCATGCTAGTGTGTCGTTGTCAGTTGAAGCATTTGTATATCATCTTCATGACTAGCATATTGAGATCAATAAACAACATGACGCAAGTAATGCATTATATAAACTTCAAGCTGATTCGCATAAACGATATTTTGAATTTAATATTGGGGATTATATTATATTACAAGCTTGTAGTGCTGGTCCTTTAAAAATTTTAAAGCATGTTGGTTCAAATACACATGTCATTGCTCTTTCATCAAATTTTGGCTACCACTCTGCTTTAAATATTAAGGACTTCATTACTTACAAACACCGTGTTACTTCCTTTGATGATCCATTTCTACTTAACTTTATGGACCCCCAACTTGACTATGTTGATATTTCTACTTCAATACCATCTCTCACTGAACACAAAGATAAAATTGATATTATTTTAGATGAACGTATTGTATTGACCAATGATAGCAAGATTGAGTACTTCCTTGTTTATTGGGTAGATCGACGTGCTTCTTATGCTTCTCATTATGTACAATCATGTGAAAATCTTGAAGATGAGGTGCATGAGTATTAGGTATTTGGAGTCCAGTATCAGTACTTGGTTAGAAGGAAAGATCACCCCCTTGGTCAGGTCATATTCTTGGGAATAAGCTACAGTTTTCAGTACTATCAATCATGAAATTTTGTTACTTGGTTCGTCAGAAAGATCATCCACCGTGGCGTGGCTTGAAGCATTTGGAGTATCAGATTGACTGCAACCCATACTATCTATCACTCGACAGGGTCGAGTTTTTCTCCCACCCCGGGAGAGTTGATGAGGACATCGGACAACGTTTACTTATTTTATTTAAACTTTATTTATTTTCTTGGACGATTATTTAAATTTGGACTTGTATGGGCTCGGGCCCAAACTCGTTAGGGTTGCTTTACTATTTAAACATATTTTGCATTGTAATTTTGAAACGATAATGAATGAATAATTATTTTGGTGGCTTATGGCGCATCCCTCCCCTTCTTCTATTGAATTCTTCTTCTATCCCCTCCCTTAATTCCCAATTCTTTCTGAATCTTTCTTCTATTTCTATTAATCATCCCATTGGTGCTGCATCACCATTTGCTCGAGACGGTGAGGGAATTCAAGAACGAGCTTAGGTCAACCATCAGTAACAAGATGGACCAACTCATACAACTTCAAATACATCCCCGGAATTTGATTAATATTCTAATGTTTGAAACAAAGGCAATAAATTCCTTGTAGGCCATCCTTAAATAGTGAACTACCCTAAAACAAGCATGTTATGGATATACTTGAAATTTCTCATCTTTTTATGAGGTATCAACCAATATGCAGCTTCTCAGGAGACCAGTTGATCAGGGAAACACATGCTTTGAGGCATCTTTTATGGTCGAATTTACTACTATTATATCTTATTTACAAAGGCCTACTATAAGATCAAAAGCCACTCACTTGAGGGGATCTAGAGTGCTTTCTCCAACATATGCTACGGCTGCGAAATGCATCACAGCATCAAATGCATTTTCTGAAAAAAATTTATGCACCTGAACAGATTGATCAAGGTAACAATTCGAAACCCATACTAAACTTGCACTTGGAAAAAAATTATTATAAAAACAAATGCTGAATGAGGATACAGCTTTCGCATCACCCAGGTCAGCATATATAAACTGAAGTCTCCCAGGTTCTGGAAATAGCTGCTGTAGGACCTTGATGGCACCAATATTTCCCCTTGAGAGATTATCCTGTGAAACAACAATTCTGTCTCTTCTCAGGGGGTCATGTCTTATGGACAGTAATGATTACAGAAATGAACTATTCATGTCAGAAACATACCACCACTGTCACACGATATGAGTCCTTCAGAAGTCGCAATGTCGCATGTGAACCAATGTAGCCAGCACCTCCAGTAACCAAGACATGAGCAACACCTGGTTCATGACGTGAGAACTGTACAAAGACACGAGGGAAAAACAAAAAGAGTCATTTTAAATTTCAAGAAGTGTCCAATGTTCTGCATAAGTTTTAAACAAAAAATTGCACATATGGATCCTTTATTTTCTATTTCATTCCTATAAATCTGAATCTATTTGGTGAAAGGGGATTTCTAAAGATATCTTCTAATTGCTTAAATGTGCAAACAATAATAATTAAAATATAACCTTTTCATACTCTAGACAGGACGATGTCCAATTTTAACATAAGGTTCTACCATGCTGCACCTACCAAATCAGAAGACAAGCTTATAGCAAAGTCTAATTATATACTGCACTTGGACTATGAATTTTAACATTTGCTCAAGACTTCAGTGTATTCATAAAAGATTTCCATTCCTAAATCATGAAGTGCTTCAAGTTACATCCAACTCTGTATATAATTACAACCTTTACCAGAAATGCATACTACTATGCATAAACACCCAAGCAGGTAATGTGCTCAAAATGCAGTTATTTCCTAACATAGATGAGAAACTGTATTGTGAACGAACAAGGCCCCCAGTTGACCAATTGACAGGATATCGTAAGTCGCGGCCTGAATTTCAAACTATAGGGTCTCATATTAAACCCAAAATCAAAACAGTTAGAACCAGGTACTCAATTAATATTAAGAACTTTTCATACCAGCGGAGTAAGAGAGAAAAGAGGAATAAACATAATGACAACAACTATGCAAATAAAGAAAAAGTAGTTCAAATTCTCTTTCTTTAGATTTTTTTTTTTTCAGAAGCTTAACAACAAAACTAATCATTTCCCTCCTTCCAACATTTATATGGAAATATATGCATAAAATATTGAATAACCTTCCGAGTCCTGACTATGATGTTAACTAGTTGTTATTATTTCATCTCTATTGATGCTTGATTTTTATACTTTTCTAATTTGCAGGCCAGGCTGGAGGATTCATCGTCAAATGAAACCTCACAAGGTTGGTAAGCAATTGTGGGATATGGTTGACGAATTTCATTTGTGTTCCTTTACATTTTCAATATTTGCTTTGTTTATCCAATTTTCTTTAAAGTGTTGGGAGTGATATGGGGACGAAATAATATGGGAAACTGGGCCTTATGTTATGGCATTTTTCTTATGGCTATAGCCTGGCTTGCATCAGATACCTATCCTACCTTAAATTCATATTTAGTCATGCATGAGATTAGGCACATTAAAGACAAGGATTCTTGGTGTCTTTATTTGTTGATGGCATTTTTTTTATTGTCAAAAAAGGATTATTGTAGATTTTTGCAATCATGAATCATATCCCAAATAGTGAGTGTTTTAGGTATTTAGGTTTGATATTAACAAGGAAGAACACCTTGAGAAGGATGCAATGCATACAACTGGAGCAAGATGGACAAAATGAAGAAGTGTAAAATAGAGATTTTATGCAATAGTAAGTTACGAGTGACATTAAAAGTAAAGTTACAAGAAAAGCTATGCTTTGTGACATTGTATTTAAGGTTATTATAAGCTAAAATATCCATAACAAAAAATTGATATTAAGATGGGCGTATGATTGTATTAGAACAGACGAGATAAGAAAAGAGAATATAAGCTAATAAGTGGTTGGGGACATCAACTTAGGATAAGTAAAGAGAAAGATGACTTAAGGGTTGTGGTTGTATTATCTCTTAGATCTTGAAACTCCCATTCACTGGAGTGATGTGATCCCAACAGAATATGTTGAAGAGTGGGGAGGTAGACCAAAATTAAGAAGTCTCGATTTGGTTGTCAAATATTTAGTTGCATTTCTTTTCTCTGTAATGGATTGAAGGGACTGGTGAAAATGATTTCATCTAGCCAATAACTATTTTATTGGAAATGAGGTCCTTGTTGAATCTTTTTGAATGAAAGATACTCGGCAATCTTAACCTTTCATTTTAACACCCCTTGTTTTTTTTTTGTTCCTAAACCAGTTCTGTTGGGATGGGAGTTTTAATCCCCCTGTTACGATAAATAGTTATCTGCATTGTTCCTATTGAATTCACCAAAGCCTATTTAATATAGTTGTTTCTTGTCATAATAGGGTGAAAATATTGTGTTTTATAGAGTTTTGAACCTCGTGATGTGTGTTTAGTATTTTTGTAATGCTTTTGCATTTTTTTTAACAGTTGGTTAGTGTTTATTGCACATGTAATATGAATCCTTGGTATGAAATGATTACCTTTGATATTGTTTGCAGGTTTATATTTCAATCAACTTGTTGAAAAAAGCGATCTGGGTACTTTGGTTGCAAATATTGGGGAATCCTGTATCATCGATGGTGATGGGTCTTTACATGAAGCTTCTCATGCTGAGTCTAGTTGTGAAATTCCGATGGTGGATATTCCAGATTTCTTAGCTGAAAATGGTGATATGTATCTATTACATTTTGATAATAGATCTAATTTTGCTCCATTGAAGCCAGATTTTCCTTATAGTTCAGGATTTAAGTCATCATCTAGAGATGACGATTGGATGATGAACATAATGGCAGGGGCGGAGCCAGGAATGTACACTGCGGGGGGCTGTGATGCTCGGATTTGGCCACCGGGGGCCAAATATTTTTAAAAATTTGATGTAATTCAAATATAACCAAAAGAAAAAAAGAAAAGAAAATGTTATAAATATAACAAAATCAGGTTGTGGAGATAAATGAGGCTCAAATTCAGGAGATGAATGTCTGATTAGGTGGGTTATTGGGTTTGGAGTCTTTGGACTTTGGAATGGATTCAATGGAAATTATGCAATGGCTGAATAGGTTTACGTTCCAGAGGAAATTTCACCCATCACTACATTTTAAATTAATATTCGATTTTTACTTTTCAATTTGATAAATTCCAGAATTACTGGAATGTGTATAGTATTTTTGGTTAAAATTAAATTACTTCACTTTATCAGAGAGGTCATTATTTCACCATTGATTACTCTTCATTCCTGCACTAATCATAATTTCCCCAAATTGCTGCCCTAATTTCATCTCTACAGTTATGAGCCTAAAGTTAATTCAGCAAACCATTTGCAATCGGTAAGATTATCCTCAAATCAAGAGATCAGGGGTGATTCCGTTCCAATTTTCGAAGGCTGTAGATCTTGATTTTTATTGCTTCAACATCGTCACTCACTTTCGATTCAAGATTTTTGTTGGTGATTTTGTATGTATGTTCTTCAAGGTACTACAACCCGTTGATTTCCTACCCAAATTCGAAGCCTAAAGATCATGATCATCCCTTTATTTCTTTATCATAATTCAGACTCCTAATAATTCAAGATTTTTTCTGACGATTCTGTAAGTATGTTCTTCAAATACTCCATCCAGCTATCCAAGTGACTCCCTATGCAGATTTGAAGCCTAAAGATCATTCCTCCCTTTCTTTACCACAATCTGTGGAGATCAGCCGTGGGCTAATTACAAATTTTGGATCAAAAGTTGATCAATTTAAGTTGGGCTAAAGTGGTTTAGATAGTGGGCTAAATATAAATTGGGCCGAGCTATAGTTTTTCCTTTTTCCAAAAAATCTTAACACAAAAGGGCCTTTGGGCAGTAAATGTACTGGGCTACAGCCCAGTTGAGCTACCCCAAATCCGCCCTTATTAATGGATGAAATGGAGTTTCCAACTCAGGACTTCACAATGACGATGGCTTTCGCGGATCTAGTTAGAAGTGACATTGGGCAAATGCAAATTTTGGATGTGGTAGCAATGATGTTCCATTTACCCCATCAAGTGACATGCATATGGTGAGAAGTGGATCAGATCACGCTATTCCAAGAATCTTAGCAAATGTTTTCAGTGAAGTACATGGTCATGTAAAGATTGAAAAGAAATGGGAATCAATTACATTGAGTGATATAGCTTCCATAGCTTCTGAAGTAATTGGTGGTGTAGTTGGTAGGAATTTCTATGGTGCTGCTAATGGTCTGTCTACTAACGGTGACATAAAATGGTCTTTGTCCTCTTACTCCCATTTCCAGTGAGCATAATTTGCCTCATATGAAGTATGAGAGAGATAACATATATTTTGAATCAAAGAGAACTTGCTTTTCTCTTCGTACAGTTGTCAAATCTTCCACACAAAATTCAACAGTAACTGCTCACAGTTGTGGTCCTATTGTACGGGCAGAGCAAATTTCCGTACTGCCTTCCACCTCAACTAATCAGCAATGTAGTTGTTTAAAGACGGAACAAGGTACACCAAAGGTTAATGATTCTTATCTTTCAAATATCAATTGCCAAGGGTCTCAGAGTGGTTCAATTGATCAAAGCTTCCATGTCGATGATGACTCTGATCTCTGTGTTCTAGAGGAGATGAGTGCACCTTCGTGCGTAAATCCCACTTCAGCAAGTGCCAAGTTGGTTTCTGCTTCCCATCTTTCCACATCAAGAGACCCTCTAAGCCACACAGTAATGGGCCATTCAAGTCTCAGGCAAAATGATGAACGATTCATCTATCGATTTGCTTTGCGGGTAGGTTCCTGAACTGATATTCGTTATGTCTCTAACGAGCTATAGTTAAAATATTATTTTGTTAAATTTAGGTACCAAGAAATTTGTAATTATCCATCTAATCATACATACTAGGTAATATTCTTTGAGAAAATTTCTGTGTAAAGAATCGAGCTATGTGTTGATGTCTTGGTTACCAATGTGAGAGTTTGATGTGAATTGGTTTGTACTGTGCCATCTTTATGCTGTCCAGAACTCGTACATATGCTGGGCGGTTTAAGCATTGGCTTTCAGTTGTATATCCATTCTTCTGAGAAACAACTAATTCATCCTTCTCTTTCATTAATTGCTGTGTATCCCAATTGAACATATGTACAGTTGCTAGTATATAATGATTCTTTCTAGGTAGTCTAAAGTAGGATTATTGGAAAAAGAAGAAAGAATTTCCTAGAATAAAAGGTTATGGATATCTTTTCAGCATTGGCTTCATTATCTATGGTCTATTTTATTTTGTAGATTCTGTTGTGTGCCAATTGCCATGGTACTCTTTAGTTCTCTTTTAATTATTTTTCTGCTAGACCAAACTATTTTGCCTCTCACTTTTTAAAGTAGGAACACTATTGGAACCATCAACTAATAGGGAACAGAAATTATTTTAATTAATATATTTTAGTATTTTGATTATCTTAAGCTTCCTGAGTCTATCATTTGGGTCAAGCTCTTATCTGTTGCTTTTTGTTTTTATACTTAGATTAAACAAATTTTTTAGGCAGTAAAAGGAGATTTTGGGGAAAATAAAAAGTTTATTCGATATTGAGTGGTTATTTATTAATTTTGGCTGATATCATGTTTTCAATAGCTGTTACTCTATTTTTCTCATATTTCCTCGCTTTTTAAATTTAACACACCAGT